CTCGTTTAATTATATGAAATATAGTTCTTATTTGCACTAGGTTTTATTATTATTATTTATATTTAAATATAAATGATAATAAACTAAAATAATAGTAAATAATAATAGTAACAATATCTCATATGAAGAAATATACAATTTCTTCTCTTAAAAATATACAATTATAAAATTTGCGTGAAAATAAATAAAATATATAATTCATTGATCAATATAAAAATATGAGTTAAAGAGGCTTTTAATGAATTGTCATTTAATTACGAAATTGTAAGAAATAATAAATGAAAATATTTACACAGTTGACAATTGGACTTTCCAGTAATAATTATTTCATTATATTTGTGAAATTATTTTTATTTATTTTGACCAAATCATACAATTCTGTTTATACGCTCAGAAATATATTTATTCTATTATACTTTTCATTTTTATCATAACGTTTTTTTTTCTTTTTCAAGAATACTTTATTTCCATGGAGTTTAGTATTAACATGATAGGTGATAATATTTAAAGAGTATAGAAAGTGTAAACTTTAAATACTCTCTACAAATGTAACATAAAATAATAAACCTCAATCTCCTCTGTGTTTAAGTACACCGCTTTAAAAATTAATATACAGTGGGTCATAGTACATCTCTTGTGTTAAGTTTTTAATAAATAAATAATATAGTACATATTAAAACTTCACTCAACTGTAAATAAACTTAAAAATGTGATAATATACAACATAGAATATTTTATTACTCTTTTGGTCAAATATATGAAGAATTTAGAAGCTAATCAGTGTAAGTTATTTTTCACTGAAAACAATTTGTGAAAATATTCATTGTTTTTGATTGGTGAAAGAGTTTAGTCATTATAATATAATATAATATTATAACCAAACTGTTTCGTTGACTGATGATTTTCATAACAGAGAAATGTTCGTACTGCTTCTGAATCTTTCATATGTGATTATTTCACCTAATGTGCATAGCATAGCTATTTTTATAGTCTTAATAACGCTTGAATTATCTAATCCTAGAGCAAATGTGAATTTTCATATTTTTAACTCAACAATTAGACATATCGTACCCTTATGAAAACAGTGACACAATATGAAGCTTTGTCTTATTAATCTTTCGCCACACGACGTTCTTTTTTTTTTTAAATATCTCAATTTTCATTGATTTGAATGATCCCATATTTTATAGTTGCCACAATACGACACAAATCTTTCACTTGATTCTTTCTGCATATGAAGTAAATATTTCAAATTTCAATTTGTTATTATTAGTATTGTTAATATTCATTGAAATGTATTATTCATTTAGTTAATATCGATTATTATTGTTAATAGTTATTAGCTAGTTAATATTTATTGAAATGACACATATTTATTCCTATTATGCTGTAAACTGCATATATATATATATATATGTAAATATAATAAAATTATTTTATTTCTATTACATTGCAATATAATATTAAAAAAAACGATTAAATAAAACATACTACATAAATATAATAAAATTGAATGTGTAACAGGACCATACAAGAGAATTGCATTAATGTTCTAATTGTGGGAAGAAATCATTTTGTTCAAAATATGGGAACGTGTAATAATATGTAAAATTTTTCAATGAACGTTTCGTAAAGTTAATTGGTATTTGCTTCAGCTCAAAAGTTTTATCAGCTGCAATCGTCCTAAAAAAACTACATCCACAACTATATTTTCTCTTGTGCGTACAATTTGTAAAATAAATTGCGAAGCTTCTCTTCATAAATTACGAGACTTTTGTTGATCAAGGAGCAGATTACGTGATCACGATCGATGGATTCGTTTGATGACGATCCGTGATGTGAATATTTATTCGAGCTGATTATACCGATCGTTATTCCACTCGACAACCTTGCCTATAGATGAAGTGATTGTGTAACAAAACTGCTTCAGCTCTTGTTTAAAGAACACGTTGGCTAACGTCGCCAACTCAAGGATTTCTTTTTATTCATCTCCACGTGTTTCTCGCGTCCATAGGCTCATGCTCAATCTCGCCAAGATTCAAAGATTCGTTCGTTTGCTTTCTTGTCCCGTTGCATTTTTCATGTCTCAGTTTTCACACTGGCATTCAAGATTCAAGACGAAAAATATCCTCTGAACAGAATATTCTCCTGGTGAAAAAAATCTGATTCTGGCCGGAGATGCCTACGTACATTTGATTTAGTCTGGAATTGCTATTGTTTAGCATTGGATTGGACGAATCTTTAAACTAAAAAGAGAAGAAAATAAACAATTTGAAATCATTTTCTATTGATTTATTATTTTTATTCGAGAAATAACATCTTGCCCCTAAATACTTAACCTAAACCTAACCTAAATCGAATAACCTTTTATTTCAGTTAATACATTGAAGTAAAGTTACTAGACTGCCAATGTTTATACAGTTTAATATCTTTATTATATGTTTGTATCTTTGTTCGTGAACAGTAACGCAGATATATCATTTTTTATTTAATTTCTATAACAAGTTACGTCTCTCGAATACTAATTATTAAATACAAATAGAGAGAAGACTGTGGCAACACAATTTCTGCGAAACATTTAACCTTGTTTCTATAAGAAAGAAAAGAGAAGTTTTTTTCATACCACAAGCATGCAAAAGAAGTTCAACCATCGATTCCTCTACGTTTATTGCGTATTACCTTTTACAATTTCACACCCATCACGCCTTGGTAATCGAAATTTTTGCTACCACCGCGACATCTGCGAATTTCCTTGAAATTTTACGGTCGGTGATGTACACTTTCACGGTTTATTTAGTAGATTCCTCGTTCCGGATTGAATTGATAATCTCGCGAAGATTGCTCATGTCATATTAGATTGCACCACACCTTCCTCGTTTATACTCGTTTCACATTGAAAGTAATAATGCTTATCGTAGCAACTGATAAATTATATTGGCTATAAATACATATTACGACGAAAGTGACACAACCTGAAAAATGCAATTTTCGAATTATCACGTTGCATAGACACTCCTCGATCAATTATAAAAATTTCATTTGTCTTCGTAACCAGTAAAGAGCAATTATGTTGTTTGCTCTTGATTTATGTATTTTTTAAATGCTTTTTATTATGAATTTTATCTTAACCATCACTGTAAACGATCATCTGTCAAAAATTTTATTACTTTGAATTGTATGTCGTTTCTTTATTTAACGAAATAGTGCCTAATTATTTACTCATTATAACTTATTTATTTATATATTTCGTTGACAGAATAAAATTCTTACACAGTATTATAATGATAAAAGATATGAGCAAAAAAATAAACAAAAGAATTAACAATAAAAAAACAACAGAAAAATAAAAAATAAAATAATTAAACTAAAACAAAACAAAAAGAATATAAAAAATAGTAATATAACTATAGTAAAGGCATTAAACAATTATGATAAATAATAATATATTAATTCAATAATAATTGATATATTTTATAATTATTTAATATATTTTATAATAATATGATATATTATATATTATTTTATTAATAATATATTATATTATATTATATAAATAATATATATTATATATTGTTTTATATAACATATAACATATGATATATAATATATTATTAATTAATGATTAATGATAATCTTAATTGAATTAATATTAATATATTAATTCAAAATCTAAATTAATAATATATTAATAACAATAATATATTAATTTGGTGTTAATACATATTAATATTGTTTAGATAACGAATAGCCCATACTTTTAATTATTTCACTAATAGAAACTTAAAAATTAACATTAAAACATAATGAATTATTTTTAGATTTTTTTCAGTAACGTTAAATGCACGGGTTGAAACCATTTAAATCCTATTTAGTTATTTATTTCTTGAAATTAATAAAGCAGCAAATAATTTAAATGTTCGACTTGAAATCAACACCCTGTATATAGGGATTTTTTTTTTTTCTTTCGAACAAGATTGCTTTGTCCGTTATTCTTTCGTCATTAATTACCGGAAAAATTAAGTTAATTGACTACTACCAGAACGTGTGTAAAAAATAGGAGTTCGTGCTCGAAGTGCATTTAATCAAGCATAATGCAATACTGTGCCAGCAATATCGTGAAATGAATGTCACAAAATAAAAACAACGATGCTTTGTGTAATTAATTGCGTCACATCTGCGTTATTTGACGGAGTACAGAAGTGAATAATGGATCGATACCTTTTTAAAAGGGATCGTAATAGGATTCGCGAGGTGCTTTAACTTATCAATGACTAACGTCACGTTGGCGTAAAGTTTCATTCATAGGTTTTTGTATGATCGATTTATTTTATTTAATTTTGTTCTTTATTTAATGTTGCGATTATTTAAGAGATCATTCAATATTTTTTTTATACAGCTTACAAGAACGAGGATATTTATTTACTGTAAAATTTTTGGCTTTTACAAATTGTCTATCATTTCAATTTTTTGTTTGTACCTTTTGCATATAATGTGCACATCATTTTAAAATGTATTTAAGACTTCATTATATAATAACGTTGTAAATGTGATATGATCAATATTTCGCGAATTGAAGAATTGAAAATTGAAAATTTTAATTATATTATTTTATTATTAATTTTATCGATAATTTTAGTATATTTCTAGTTACCTGTAACTGTAATATTTCAGAGTTTTAAATTTTTCCCTTTAAAAGTGATATAAATCAAGGATATTAGTTTTTTTTTTTAAATAAAAAGGACTATCTCTAAACATGTATTACATATTATTTTATTTATGCAATACAATTAAACATTTTTATTTTCTTTTAGTTTATGAACATAAAAGACTTAAAAGAATTTTCTCCTATTGATAATTCTGCTGTTATGTCATTTTATGTATCTCACATTGATACACACGTATGAAGATTTGAGACAAAAGACTATCTTTCCTATCTCGTCATCATAGAAAACTTCATACATGTAGAAATACTTAATTCAACTGATAAAACTAGAATATAATATAATGTACAAGAGTATAAGTTAATTTACATATAATACGTGTGATATATAAATAAAAATATCTATTATTCCTAGCTATATTTTTATGTTTCATATTATTATCCAAAAATAAAATAATTTCTCTATAAAACATAAACATGAAATTGTTTCTTCATTTTTCTATATTATTAGTAGATTGTGAATATTTATACACTTTTACAGGAAATAATAAATATTCAGTATACAGTATTTATCATGAATAAATTTCCATTTGGCGTTTCTTTGGTTATATTTGGTAAAACATAGAAACGCTGTTTAATTTAATTAGGTAAAATACAAAATGTAATTAAACGATTCCGTGACAATAAAAGGGATATTGTGTTAACAATTTATGGTCATCGATAGTTGCTAATGGTCACGACGACATCGTTTTTGCAGAAAGGAGCACAAGAAACTTCTTCGTTCCACATTCATTTACATAGCAAAGACGCCACGACTACTTCGCACGGCCACTCCTAACTCTTGTAGGCCTCCGAGTTTCTGCATTCCCCGTTCTCTCTTGAAATTACTGGCAAAGTTGATCGAGTGTGCCAGAAATATCGTCTACCAACGATTATCTGGCAGACAGTAAATGGAGACTCGTCACCGTTATGCAGCAGAAATTCTATCTTGAAATGATTGAAATGAAATTATTCCATGATTTCATACAAGCTGATAAATATCTATATATATTGTATTTGTTTCCTAGCATTTCTGGAATCATTTTTCATAGTTTCCAGAATATTTTTTGCAGGTAGAGTACAATATTTTCTAGAGTTCAATATTTTCTAATAACTAAGTGTAATTCCAATTATACTTGGTTTGTTTTATCCTGATTGCTGATCATTTTGTGATTGCATTTGATGATAACAATATATTTAATAAAGACGAAAAAAGAAAAAATAATAATTTAATATATCTAATGGGTCAATAATCTAAATGATGAATTTGCATTTTAACTATTCCAAATATTTCCAGATATTACAATAGCATAAATATATATACATAAAAATATTTATACGTATGTATAACTCTTATCTAATTAGAGGTACTTGTAAAATAAACAAACTTATATTTGCACATGGAACCATAAATTACATGACACTGTATAATAAATTTGGATGTTTACATAAATTCATATCTTCATGAATATAATTAAACCAGTGGATCTTAGGTACAAACTTTACTACTAATAGTGCATACATTTTTGTACGTTATATCCAGTATTGACTATATTTGAAATAAAAAATATTTGAAATAATTGAAATGCTCTTACTGACAAAAAATACCGTTTGAAAATTTATTTCATTTGGGCATATGAAACATATACAATATATGAAATTATTTATGTCACATATAAATAGGAATTATTAATTGAAATAATAATTGTTCAACATTAGAAATTATTATTTAAAATAATATTTCAAACTTTGAAAATTATATTGATTATTTCAAATGTTAATTTTGATGATTACTACTTAAAAAAAAAATTAATTAAAAAAAGTATGGAGAGAAAATAAATATTAATTAATAATATTAAATAATATTTCTAAGAAATGATTAACTTACTGTTGTTGTTCATATACAGATATTTCATTCATATACAAAACTAAAGAATGTATTAAAAACGATTTTACGAATATAATATTCAAATATTTGACTACACAAATTATGAAATATTTATTTCAAATAACTATTTCAAGTTCATTATGAAGAATACGTAATTGAAATATACAATTTTCATATACTTATAAACTCAAATAAATTTCAAATAATATTTCAATCATGAAAATAAATAATTATTTCAAACTGTGTGGAAAGTAATCTTTACAAATTTTCCATAAATGCATAAAATATGACTGCAGTCTAATAGTAAATATAAATAAAATAAAAATAAATATCTTCAATTTACAATTAGTAATGTATCCAGAAACCAGAAGTCAAAATAGTGAAAAGTAAATTTTCTTCAAACCATCTTACTAAACCTAACCTAAATCATCTTACTCTTCGAATAAGAACAACAGATTTACCTCTGTTTTGAGATTTTCGTGAGAGACCTGAAGCAAAAGATGTTTTCCTGTGTATGCAGTACACGAAATGGGGCATAAGGCGCCATTCAGGACCGTTCTATTACGAAGAATGACTACTGTATAACTAACAATACCTGTGCTGGTCGATAACAATGATTGGCTGGACTTCGTTGACCCCCTTAACTTGTTCACGTTCCCGGGCCTCGCCCAATGTTATGAATCGACGCTCTTCCTCACTCAAAGTACTTGTATAGTTGGTGATGACGCAATCGTCGACCCTGTTATCATAATTAAACCCGACATTGCAAATGGACATTGAATTAAATAATTTATCTAACTTGCTATTTTCTCAAATCTTTTTAAATGAATTAAGATTTTTTTGGAATTACAATTTAAAAATTACTCAACAATTTTGATCATACTTCGCGAAACTCTTAGGAATACCAATTCTGGCATAACGTTGAAAATTTAAATATTTTTTTATTTTAAAATTTAAACATTTTTTACTTTAATATTAAATACTAAGTACTTGAGCATTAAAAATATTAAAAGTTTTTAATATTTTATGTAGTTTCTGTTTAGTATAATTGGATATTATATAATGCATATTTTAATATCATAAATATAATATAAATTTACGGAATGCTTTACAAAAAATCAAATTCGAATTTTGTTAATATAAGAAATAAAGTTTTCAAAAACAATGAAGATATTCAAATGTTAATTCTCATTGGACAATTCTGTATGAATTATTTGTGACAAATTCATAAAAATAAAGTTTTATTATAAGTATATAAATATAAACTAGCCATAATAATTAGTAATGTGAAATCAATTATTGTATAAAAATATCTTAATTTCTATTATGTAAACGAAAAATCAATAGTGGAAGAAAAGAGAATCAGTTATTTGAATTATTTGAAACTATCTGTTCCTCAGGTTCATATCAGCAGAATTTCACTGAAAAAAATTCAGCCTTCACAAAATATGAAAGGAAATTTCTATTTTAGAGTCCACGCCGATTAATAAATAAAAACATTCACTTTGCGTGAAAACAATTATAACTTTAAATTTTTGATATTTTTTTCGTTTAATTTGACCGAAATTACGCAAATTAGTTCTACGTTCTGAAACTAGTGCTATCAATTGCATATCGTATCGAATAATGTCACTCCTTGAAATAAATTAACGAATTATGCGACATCTGCGATTGTTGCTTGGTTGCAAGAGATTGAAAGTATCGTTTTTCGTTAAAAATTATTTATTTGTTGAGCCAGAGAATAGTTAGAATAGTCTCCGATTTTAGGAAAGAGTGTGATGCTTGAATATTTTACTATACAATAAGGAGTGAAGAAGCGTCTCGAGTGGCTGGTAAAGTGCCTTATCTTATTGTTAGGTTAGGTTTAGGTTAGGATGCAAAGGTATGCGATGAAAGCCCACTTCCTACTGGATAGTCATTGAATTTTAGATACTTGTCATAAAGGAAGATATTTATAACATTATATAGTGAATACAGTGCTTTAAGTAATTTAAACATTCTTAGACATATTAAGTTCTATTATAAGAATATAACATGTCAAATTTAATGTAGTAATATTAATGTAATAATGTATAGTATAATTATTGCAAATATTTCCGTATATATTTATTCTATATACATTAAATATTTATTTCTAATTTTTCTAAATCTTTTAATCTTTTTTATCTATTTGTTTAATTAATTGATAATTATTTACTTCTTTTAACAATCAAAACCTATAATGCACATATATGATATTTTTATTCAGAATGATTTATCGAACACACTGAGGTATTCCTCGAAAACTAAAGAATATGTACATATTCTTTTTTCAGTTGTTAAAACAAAATCGTCTTTTCGATGAAAAAAGAAAACAAAGCAGTACGATTTCCATATTCCAACATTCATTAAAATTCACGAGACGTTTTGTTGAGAAATATCCAGAAACTCAGAAGTTGTTTAATGGTGTAGTACAGAAAGGAATTCCAAGTGTTTTTACTGCTGTGAATGCTGATTACAGTTTTTCGCAAAGGATAGCGCTATGCAAACAGATACCGGAATTAATTTCCCAGGTATCAAAGAGATTTCAATCAACAGAGACAGTTCTACACCATACTTGAACTTGTCTCCACACTTTTAAGTTATTCATTTTGAAAGAAGATGACTCTATTGATCTTTAACAATTTTATTTAACACTTAGCACGATTTTTACTAATATTATTATAAGAGATTTAATTTTCGATGATTAGAGTTTAAAGTAAAAAAATTGTTTTTCATTTTCTTGTTTCGTAAATCTTTTCTTTTTCTTTTTAAATTAATTGGAGATCAATCTGATAGATGAAATAAAACTCAAAATATCTAATCAATGTGATTTTGAAATTCTTATAAAAGTCTCAGTCCCTGAGCTGTGCTAATGACAAAATAAAATTAATTATTATTTTAAACAAAAAAAAAATTGTAATGTATAAATTGATCTAATTATATTTCTATGATACTAATATAATACTAAAAATATGCGGTATTAAAGGTTAAGATGATTCAATATAAAAAAACTGCAATAAAGATATAATATAATATAATGATAAGTATATGTATAACAAACTAGTTTATGTAATTATCATCGTAATAAAAGAAGAAGATATTAAATAATGATAACGAAAGATATTGGATTAAGTATTTTAATTATGTTGATCACTCTTAAAATAGAATAGTAAGGTATGTGATGATGATGCAACAGAGTGATAAACATCTGCTTATTCAATCAGATACTTTACTGCTATATTTATTTGTTATTTAATAAGAATAGTGATATTTTGATTTTCATTTACAAAGTCTTTCTTCGCATTCTTTATTTTTATTATAACTGTTTTATTTATATAATATTTTTCGTCTCATTGCTATTCGTAAAACATTTTAACCTTTTACAATATAATACAATAAGAGCGTTAATAAATTTATGAACGTTCCTATTATTGTTGCAGGCCAAACAACGTGCCTCCGTAAAATGGCTCCTGTCGAAGGCGTACAATAACCGAGTACCAGAAAACCTTCGTGAGCCGTATTACGTCGATAATGAGGTATGTACCTAATTTCGATTTTTTTATATGTACCACAATCAATGAATTACATTCGAAATTCTTAGTAACGCTAATTTGAATTTTGACAAGAAAAAAATCGAATAATTTGTTGCGTCGAGTAAAACTTAAATTCAATTGTTTTTGCTTTATATATTAAATAACAGACTGCACATTCTTATATAAATTCATATTT